GATCCGGCGGCAGTGAGCGAGGCCAAGGGCGGTTCTGACGCCGCCCGGATCGCGGAAGTGAAGGCGTGGCTCACTTGTCAGTTTGAAGCCGCCGGCAGAGAAGTCCCCAATTTCGACTACACTCATCGAAGCATCGCCCATCTGTATAACCTCGCCACCGCTTCTCAAGCCAAGTCTCAGGCTGCAAGCATTGTCGCCAACGATTTTCGTCAAAAGGCTTCCGAGTATCGTGCTCAAGGTAACTTGCTTCGATAATGAATCTTGTTGTAAGCAGCATCATGAGGTTGAAACAAAATTTAGCTTTTCCTGGGAATAGTTTCTCTGGTTTATAAGATCTCTGGGTGAAATTTGGTCGAGGTAGCGGCTCGGATTAGAGAGATACTGGAGAGTGCGGGAATGGCACAAGAGAGCTTACCTTCGAATGTGGTCTCTTCAGCGCAAGTTCTCGCAAATGTGGCGAACCTGTTGAACATAAGGGACACTGAGCTGAGCAGGTGAGTTCACTGTTATAAGATGTGTTGCTATCTCGAAATGTGAAACTGATGAAGAAGAACTTTTGTATAGTTTCCTTGTTGCAATGGGAGACATTTCTCTGAGGAAGACTGGAGTGGAGGAGAAACGAGCTAAAGCACAGAAAGAGTCCAATGTTCTCCTTGATTATACAAGGAAAGCGATTCAGAGGCTGACGTATTTGAAGAAGTAAGACTCATAATATAGAAGAAACATATAGATTGAACTCATAAGCTTTACCTTTGGGAATAGACTGATCTTACTTTATCTGTGTGATTTGTTACAGAATCCTTGCGCAGCTAGAAGACGATGTAGTCCCTTGTGAATCACAGATGGAGAATTGGAAAACAAATTTGGAAGTAATGGCAGCCAAGGAGGAACAGTACATACAGCAGTACAAGAAGTATGAGGTAGATGCCTTCTTCTCCTTTCTGTTTATAACACACTCCTTTGGTAATAGGTAAAATGAGAACCAGATACCTTTCTGCAATTAGATCTGTTGTGGGTGTATTTGAGAATTAGATACCTTTATGTAAAAATTGAAACAATCATAGCAAAGCTGAAATAGGAAGGATTAGTTTAGTGATGGTCAAACTATATTCTTGCTAGTAATTGAAGGATATGATTCCAGGGATTTTTCGAATTTGTTATATCATAAACATACATTCTGATAATCGTAAAAGAACTACAGTGGTGATGCTGGTTAGCAAAGTATTATTATCGTACCATTTCTCTGATGTGTATTGTGGGGAGCAGATGTTGCTCAACCGTGTTGGCTACAATACTAAGATCAGCCACAGAGAGCTGGTGGAAATGGCAGAACACAGGAAGGAATTGGATAAGATGACGAAACCAGTCCTTGACACTCTAAGAAGCTACCAGGACTTGCCTCCGGTAAATTTCATACTTCTTTGTCACTGAATCCAAGGAAATGATACATCTCTGGTTGTTCCAAATCTTGGTTAAACTCTCATTGATCTACATTATCAATCAATCTCCGCTTTGTGATTGGAGTCTCGTTGCTAGTGTCTGTTCACAGTAGATTGCTTGCTGGTTTCTTTGAACAGGACAAAGCTCTAGCTGCACTAGCAATCGAAGACAAGAAAAGGCAGTTTGCAGCTGCAGAAAAGTATCTAGAAGAAGTATTACAATCTGCCCTTGAGACAAGCGATGAGTGATATACAAATCTCCTGTGATGACTATCTTGGAGGTCCAATAGTTGCACCAGCAGCTACTGATCGATGGTGCATTTCTGATTATCCTACTTGTAATGAAAAGACTCAACATCTCTGTCTGTGTTCCTCATTGTTCTCAACCTTTTACATTAAAACATTATGGCGTAATAGAGGCCTTTGGGGATCAAAATACAAACTTGCACGTGTATTTATAGGATATTATTATCGAATCATGCCGAGGCAAATGAAATCTATAATGATTATGTGTTTTATGCCGGTTTCATTTACTGAGTGTACGTTATGCTAACATAACACGAGTTCATGCGCATTATGTTCTTATGTATAATTTTTACAGACCGTCAAACAAGTCAAAAAACTAGTACAAGTGTATCCACCGCCTTCATAGTAGTAAGCAACAAAAAAATAAAATTGAAGTGATGTATCTCACAGGCTCGTGGTTGCAAGATGACCACACTCATCCGGACCAATGTGGTTAAACAAGCTGTGCCAACGTCGCGTTGAGTGACGGAGTCCATGTTATTAAAATCTCCTCCTTTTATTTTAGGAACTAACTAATATTTCAAAACCTGTGCAAAATAGTGGAAAATGAGCACCACTTTCACACTGTAAAATGAAAAATTTGATATGAAATCTAAATCCAATGTCAGATTTTTTTAACTCGTTTGCATTAAAAAAATATTGGTAAAAAAAATGTGAACAAATAAAAAGTTATATTGAAGCAAGATCGAAAACCGCATGATCCAGAGCATACGATGTTCAGATAATTGATTTATGGGTCAACCAGATTTGGAACAATAGCACCGCAGTTCAAACATGACATGTCACTAAGGATTTTGCGAAATGATAGTGGAGTCAGGTGGTGGTGAATGTAGCCTAGGGTTTTGTGGGCATAGAAGAAGGAAAATCACTAAAGCTTCTCATCATTCTGGATATTGGATGAGGATTTGGGCTAAGGGTTTTGCGAAATGATGGTGGAGGCAGGTGGTGGAATGTAGCCTAGGGTTTTGTGGGCATAGAAGAAGAAAAATCCCTAAAGCCTCTCATCATTTTGGATATTGGATGAGGATTTGAGCTTCAAATGCTAAGCCCAAAGTAATTCTTGGTAAGGGGTACAGGCCTTGAGCCCAAAACAATTGCATACAAGCAAAACAACCATTTCGTCAAGTAAAAGAAGAACAATAGGCGAATAAAACATAAAATCTCCATCATAATAGAACAATTTTTGTAACATAATACGAAGATAAATTTTTGCAGCATAGAAAGAAGAGAACCATAAGAATATAATCGAGGAGAAACTAAGAAGAGGGATGGGGCTCTTTTTTTGCAAACGCGGATGCATTTTTAATAAAAACAGTCGTGAGAAGAGAATTGAGAGAAGGATCTAAAGAGGAGGGATGAGGAGAGGGGAGAGGAGCGGATGCGGATGAAAGAAGATTATATAAGAAGAAGAAGGGGTAGGTTTAGGTTAAAGATTAGGTGGCTTATAAAGAGCTGCAAAATCTATTTCTCTGATCTCACGCGTCTCTCAATATTTTGTACACTACTATTTATTTGTATATACTATATAGTAGTAGTATATAAAATCGCGTCTGTATTATTAAAATCTCCTTTTTTTATTTTAGGAACCAACTAATATCCAAAATCCACGCAAGATAGTGGAAAATGAGCCCCACTTCCACACTGCAAAATGAGAAATTTGGCATGAAATCTAAATCCAATGTCAGATTTTTTTTAACTCGCTCGCATTAAAGAAATATTGGTGAAAAATGTGAACAAATAAGAAGTTATCTTAAAGCAAGATCGAAAGCCGCATGATCTAGGACATACGATGTTCAGATAGTTGATTTATGGGTCAACCAGATTTGGAACAATAGCACTGCAGTTCAAACATGACATGTTGCTAAGGGTTGTGAAAAATGATGGTGGAGGCAGGTGGTGGTGAATGTAGCCTAGGGTTTTGTGGGCACAAAAGAAAATAAATCCCTAAAGCCTCCTATCGTTCTGGATATTGGATGAGGATTTGGGCTTCAAATGCTAAGCCCAAAGCAATTCTTGGTAAGAGGTACAGGCTTTGAACCCAAAACAATTGCATACAAGCAAAACGACCATTTCGTAAGGCAAAGGAAGAATAATTGGCGGATAAAACATAAAATCCCCATCAGAATTGAACAATTTTTGTAACATAATACGAAGATAGATTTTTGCAGCATAGAATGAAGAGAACCATAAGAATATAATCGAGGAGAAACTAAGAAGAGGGATGAGGCTTTTTTTTGCAAACGCGGATGGATTTTTAATAGAAACAGTCGTGAGAAGAGAATTGAGAGAAGGATCTAAAGAGGATGGATGAGGAGAGGAGAGATGAGCGGATGAGAGAAAATTATAGAAGAAGAAGAAGAGATAGGTTTAGGTTAAGGATTATGTGGCTTATAAAAAGCTGCAATGTCTATTTTCCTGATCTCACGCGGCTCCCAATATTTTATACACTACTATTTATTTATATACTATATAAAAATAGTATATAAAATTAAAAGATAACGTCAATAACTTTTCTGGGTTTAAGAATCGAAAGCTTCATATTATAACCCTAATTGACACTCTTAAGTATACTAGGAATTTTTGATACTGTATCATATTTTATTTTTAATTTTTTTTAAAAATTATTTTAAACTTAATAAAACTGAATTTGTATTTTATATAACAATAATATTTGGAAAAAAAAATTAATACTTACTTGATGGGTTGGTTTCTATTTATTTTGGCATATATTTGCAAGTACTAAATAAACTTTCAAATATTCTAATATCGATTTTTGATTTTTACATACAAGAAATAAATGAATACACTAGTTAACTTTTTGCATAGAGTATATCCTTTAAAAAAAATCATAGCACATGGTAACTATGAACATTCACACCAACGTATAGGGCTGTGCTTCAATCTCATATGGAAGTGTAAACCACCGGTTTAACAAGCTTATACTGGTTAACATGATTAAAAGCAACTAAACCAAATGAAGTGAGATAAAAGAAGAAGATACATCAGACCATTGATGGATTTCCCGTCACACCGTGCCCGGCGACCCTCTCTCCCTACTCCGTCTTCCTCATTCACTCTCCCTTCCTCTCGTTTCTTCTTACACAATCTATTCTAATTCCTCTTTTATTTTCTGCTTCTCCCGCACGAACCCTAGTCACGCATTCACTTCCAATCTCATCTCAGAAATATTGGCTTGAAATCAAATCGCGAAACCGCAAGGGCTTTTGCTGCTTTTCTACCAATCTCTGTTCCCAGGTATAAATCCTTGAATCGTCGGCGAGGTATGGACAACGAAGTGCTCGACTTCGATATTGGCGTAGGAGTTAGTAGTGGGGGAGATGTAGATGACGACGCAATTGATATTGAGCATCATGATGCCATGGACGAGGATGATATGCTCGACAGCCCTATGCCAGGTCTCTCCGTTGGAAATTACTTCCCCGAAGGTGATCTCCTGGATCTGGAGCCTTACGATGGTCTGGAATTCGAGTCGGAAGAAGCTGCAAAGGCTTTCTACAACTCCTATGCGCGCCGCATCGGCTTCAGTACCCGCGTCAGCTCTTCCCGGCGGTCCCGGCGAGACGGAGCTATCATACAGAGGCAATTCGTCTGTGCCAAAGAAGGTTTCAGGAACATGAACGAGAAACGCACGAAGGACAGGGAGATCAAGCGTCCGAGGACCATCACGAGAGTCGGATGCAAGGCCTCGCTCTCCGTTAAGATGCAGGATTCCGGTAAGTGGCTCGTCTCTGGGTTCGTGAAAGATCACAACCACGACTTGGTACCTCCCGATCAAGTTCACTGTCTCCGGTCGCACAGGCAAATCTCAGGTCCGGCTAAGACCTTGATAGACACATTGCAAGCAGCCGGAATGGGTCCCCGGAGGATAATGTCGGCCCTCATCAAAGAGTATGGTGGGATAAGCAAGGTTGGCTTCACCGAAGTGGACTGTAGAAACTACATGAGGAACAATCGGCAGAAGAGCATAGAAGGAGAGATTCAGCTTCTTCTTGACTACTTGAGGCAGATGAATGCAGAGAACCCAAACTTCTATTACGCTGTGCAGGGTGGCGAAGATGAGGATCAGTCTGTGGGTAACGTCTTCTGGGCTGATCCTAAAGCTAGAATGGATTTCACTTACTTCGGTGATACCGTCACGTTTGATACAACCTACAGGTCCAACAGGTACCGTTTGCCCTTCGCACCATTCACCGGCGTGAACCACCATGGACAGCCCATTCTTTTCGGCTGCGCCTTCGTCATTAACGAAACCGAGGCTTCACTCGTGTGGCTTTTCAACACCTGGCTAACGGCAATGTCCTCTCACCCTCCTCTCTCGATCACCACCGACTACGACGCGGTGATACGTGCTGCGGTCACGCAGGTTTTCCCAGCCGCTCGCCATCGGTTTTGCAAGTGGCATATTTTCAAGAAATGCCAAGAGAAGCTCTCGCATGTCTTCCTCAAGCATCCTTCTTTCGAATCGGATTTCCACAAAAGTGTCAACCTCACTGAGTCGGTTGATGATTTCGTGTCTTGCTGGTTCTCACTTCTTGACAAGTACGAGCTGAGAGACCATGAGTGGCTACAGGCTATTTACTCTGATCGCCGGCACTGGGTCCCGGTATATCTCCGTGATACCTTTTTCGCCGAAATGTCTTCGACTCAGCGTAGTGACAGTATGAATTCGTATTTTGATGGGTACATCAACGCTTCAACCAACCTCAGCCAGTTCTTTAAGCTCTACGAAAAAGCCTTGGAGAGTCGTCTCGAGAAAGAAGTTAAAGCAGATTACGATACCATGAACTCGCCTCCTCTTCTCAAGACTCCATCTCCAATGGAGAAGCAGGCGTCCGAGCTTTACACGAGAAAGCTGTTTGTGAGATTTCAGGAGGAACTAGTTGGAACTCTGACTTTCATGGCATCCAAAGATGACGATGACGGGGATCTCGTTACCTACCAGGTTGCCAAATACGGCGAGGCCCACAAGGCCCATTTCGTGAAGTTCAATGTGCTGGAGATGAGAGCAAACTGCAGTTGCCAGATGTTTGAGTTCTCTGGCATCATATGCAGACATGTCTTGGCGGTCTTCCGGGTCACCAACCTCCTTACGCTTCCACCTTACTATATCCTAAAGAGATGGACCAGAAACGCCAAAAGCAGTGTTATATTTGACGATTATGGCTCGCATGCGTATGCTAATTACCTGGAGTCTCATACTGTCCGATACAACACCTTACGCCACAAAGCATTTAACTTTGTGCAAGAAGCAGGAAAGTCTCAGTATACTTGTGAAGTCGCTGTAGCGGCTCTGCAAGAGGCTGCCAAGACTGTGTCCTCAGCAATGAAAAATGAAGTTAGGAGAAGTATGGCTAACGGGCATCTTAAAGAGAGTTCTGTAACTGATGGTAAACGCATATGCTGCAATGAGGAATGTCAGCAAGAAGTGCCGGCGCAACCCGAGCCCGAGGTGAGGATCGTCTTCTTTCCGATACTTGTTAATAAAATGACAATTCAAGTTAAACCATTTCTACATTTAAAGTATCGTTTGTTCTGGTTCTGCTTCTCTTTGATGGTATCATAGGCGATTGCTCTGTATGGTTTGACTAAATGGGCTCGTTATAAACTTCACATGTTAATAGTTTTTTCTTTCTTCATTTTTGTCATTGTGAGCCCTTGTTCATGCAGTTTTTGGCTCCACTTTTGCAGGACGAGATGGACAAGAAGATTCATCAGCTCAGAAACGAGCTGGAATTAGCAAACAGGAAATGTGAAGCTTACAGGACTAACCTACTTTCAGTCTTGAAAGAAATGGAAGATCAAAAGTTACAAGTGTCCATCAAAGTGCAGAACATCAAAATTAGTTTGAAGGATAGTCTGTGAAACACGCAACAAGTTCCAACATCCATTTTTATCTGGTCTTCCATATGATTTCTCATGTACAATATCTTAGGGTTTTTGAAAGAGGGACCCAATTTTCAGGATTTCGTATTACCATCAATGTTAGTTATAATAGTTAGTTCATAGTCTTGGCCAATTTATGTTTTTATGAGTGATTTTCATCTACTTAGAAATCATGCAAACAACAGTCGCCATAAGCTACACAAAGCTTTCTGTCAACAATTTTTAAGTTGTTCTATGGAATTTTTCCAAAAAAAAAAAAAAAAAAAAAAAAAGACAAGTAAAAATAAGGAAGTGCTTATCAGCCTTATATGGACACGTGTGGTTCTCCGTCCTCAAGCCATTATTCACCAATCCACCTTATGCAAAAAAAAAAAAACCTTCATTTTATCACAACTGTGTGATTAATTTCACTCATCTGCCAAAAATTGGACTCTCCCAGAGTGGAGGAGGCGAAACTATCCATGAGAACCGATCAGATTTCTTAATTATTTAGTCCAAATCCGATCGTCGCGTTACCGTCTCGACCTTCAAGTTCAGCTGCAATGAATTGCCCAGCCATGAGCGCATCTGCTTCTTCTTGCTCTTCTTCCTATTCCTACTCAACGTTTCGTCCTCCTCCGTAAGTCTCGAAGCTTCTGTTTCACTTGAATTCTGCTTTATCAAACAATTTATAGCTTTTCGTAGATGGGTTAGTGGAAGATAGTTTAATCGTTTGTTTGTGAGCAACAAACACATTTTCTTATTGATTCATCATAAATGTTACTTCAAGCAAATCGGATAAGAAGTGAAGAGTAATTCCAATTTTTTTTGTCTTAATCGATTAATTCGAACTCAGTGATACTCAGTCTTATGTATGAGCTTAAAGAAGCATTTGAGATTATACAACATAGCTTAAATGGTATATAATACTCTTTGATGCAGACTCTTGGCACAAATGAGATCTGTGCAGTACTCAAGATTACCCTTTGATGAGGCATTTGCTGCTTCGAAACAGCCACTCTTTTCGAACCGGCTGCTTGGGAAACATCCGTTGCCTTTGAGAGCCTTGGTGACCTCTGATCCCTTAAACATTTCATCTTCAGGAGTAGTCAGTGATGAGAAGATAGGAGTCCTGTTACTGAATCTTGGAGGCCCCGAGACTTTAGATGATGTGCAACCTTTTTTGTTTAACCTCTTTGCCGACCCGGTATATCTGCGCTCTCAACTTATAGATTATGTTTTCTGATTTTGACTGAGCATGGCTTGATTGTGACATATAACTAAGTATATCGAGACGAAAGTTTCAGATAATAGTCTTGATATGATGTTTAAAAGGAGAGATTGTTTTATCTTTTCTTGTTTCATGTGACTTATGGTGATCACTGTTGAATCGGCAGGACATTATACGGTTGCCGCCGCTGTTCCGGTTTCTTCAAAAGCCATTGGCACAGTTTATATCAGTTGCAAGGGCACCCAAAAGCAAGGAAGGATACGCATCTATTGGTGGTGGTTCACCCCTTCGTCTCATTACTGATGCACAGGTACTCCTTGGTTTTGTTATATGGCTATATGATTTTGGTTACTTACTCCGCTCTTTTTTAGGATACATGTTATCATTTCTTGGATTTTTGTGGAAGTTATCTTGCAATGAGTACCTGCAATTACTGAATACAAAAGAGCTTCACTATTCAAAGCCTAAACATTTCTCAATGAATCAGCTTTATTATCTGCAGTCAAATTGATGTTTGCATCCAACTGAAATGGCTCCCTAGTCTCACAAAGTGTTCAGTTTTCGTTTCCATTTGTAAATCCATTGCACTTGTTTGGACACCTCAACTTAAGAGTAGTAGGTTATTGAGATTATGTCTTTTTTTATGGAATGGAGATTGGGTTAAGACTTTAAGACTCTTGTATTTATGTAACTTCGCACAATATAATTTGTTCTTCCGTTGTTCTTGGTTTTTACCTTTTTATCTTTCTCCCCATGCTATTAGTTCCCTGTACATCTTTTGTTGTGAGACTTATGGCTTTCTTCGTAATTCACCAGGCTGAAGAATTGAGAAAGTCCCTTTGGGAAAAAAATGTCCCCGCAAAGGTATATGTTGGGATGCGGTATTGGCATCCGTTCACTGAGGAAGCCATTGAACAGGTATCTTGAATATGGTCCTTCCTATTTTTCTTTTCTTTGCGTTTGTATTTACCTGTTAAGAAATTTGTTTACATTTTAAGGAAACACACAACATTTTTGTTTATCAAACAGCATTTGGAATTTGTAGACGCAAACATCGGATTCTACTTCCTCATTTACAATTTTGCTAGTAATGTTTGTATAAAAACATATTGTGTTCTGTTTTGAATCTGAACACAAGATTTTACCATATAAACGGAAAAAGAACTAACTGATCAAAGCTCTTACTACTGTTTCCTATCTTATTATAAATGATCAAATATTTGTCTAGTCTTTAAGAGTATGTAAACATTTGCTTTGAACTTAAACTCATTGTGTGTAGAACAACAAAGACCTGAATTGTATGTGTTAACAACTAGAATTTGCGCCTTCTGATTCTCACTCATTTTCTTTCTGTATCTCCTTGTCAGATAAAAAGAGATGGAATCACAAAACTTGTTGTTCTTCCACTTTATCCTCAATTTTCGATATCGACTAGTGGTTCAAGCCTAAGACTCTTGGAGAGAATATTCCGGTGAGACTTGCACATCTTACTTTATTTGCTTATTCCAAGACCATATCTTACTTAGTTATTAACCTTTGCTTAACTCACTTTATATATAGAGAGGACGAGTATCTTGTGAACATGCAGCATACTGTTATACCTTCGTGGTACCAGAGGGAGGGATATATAAAAGCAATGGCAAATTTAATCCAAAGCGAGTTGGCAAAATTTGGTTCTCCTAGTCAGGTAGACAATTCTGTCCATTTCTAATCAGTCCAAGTTATGTTTTTTTTTTTCAGTTTGCTATCTTCTGAATCGGTACGTAGCAAACAAATTTGCTGAATTCATCTTGCGTCATTTATCTCTCATGTTTTAGATAATTCTTTAGTGAAAAGGAAGAATTTCATATATTTTGTGGCTTTCTTGTTGCTGCCAGTTCAACTATCCTAAGACATGCTTCAAACCAAAAATATATGTTACAGGTTGTAATATTTTTCAGTGCACATGGCGTGCCTCTTGCATATGTTGAAGAAGCTGGTGATCCGTACAAAGCAGAGATGGAAGAATGCGTTGATCTGATCATGGAGGAACTAGACAAGAGAAATATAACTAATGCTTACACTCTCGCTTATCAGGTATTTTCCATTTAATTTTTGTTTCATTAAAGCTATCACTAGTCATTTGATCTTGAAATAATACGAATTTATTGGTAAAACAATCTTCAAAAACAGATTTTTAAATTTTCTCATTAGTGCCATTGAAAGTAGTCTAACTTTGGTAGCCGTGTGTCAAATTTCACTGAATCTGTTGTTTTATTGTTTTTTTTGCGCAACACTCAAACAGAGCAGAGTTGGTCCAGTGGAATGGCTGAAACCATACACTGAAGAAGCCATTACTGATCTTGGTAAAAAGGGTGTTGAAAATCTTTTGGCTGTACCCATAAGGTAAAGTAGTAACTCGGGCACAAGTACTCTCTGCTTCTTTTTCTTCGCTTCGGGTTATGTTGAAACTCTAGTTTGTTCCTAATCTTGCAGCTTTGTGAGCGAGCACATTGAAACTCTGGAGGAGATTGATGTTGAGTATAAAGAGTTGGCTTTGAAGTCTGGTATCAAAAATTGGGGCCGAGTGCCTGCGCTAGGCACAGAACCCATGTTTATATCTGACTTGGCAGATGCTGTTGTGGAGAGTCTTCCATATGTTGGAGCTATGGCTGCCTCAAACCTTGAAGCTCGACAGGTAACACTCTTCACTTCGATTGGTTCATGTGTCAACCAGTAGTTTTACATTTATTGAAATGTATGACTGACCCAGTTAGATGTATTCTTGGGCAGTCGTTGGTTCCGCTGGGGAGTGTAGAAGAACTATTGGCGACGTATGATTCACAGAGGAGAGAGCTACCGGCGCCGGTGACGATGTGGGAATGGGGATGGACCAAAAGTGCAGAGACATGGAACGGAAGAGCGGCAATGTTGGCCGTGCTCGCGCTCTTGGTGCTCGAAGTCACCACCGGAAAAGGCTTTCTGCATCAGTGGGGCATTCTGCCTTCATTTCAATAAAGAGCAATTTCAATAAAGAGCAGATAGATATTATCTTTTTCTCTTGTCACAAAACCAATCCAACTACTCAAAACTCGGATTTCACTATGATATTATACACTCTTTTTCTTTGTCTTACATTAACTGCTTGGTGTTATCTTCATAAAACCATTGGACTTTTTAATTTTGTTTCTCCCTCTGCATTCTAATTAGACTTAGAAGTTGTATTAGAGACTTGACAAAACTCTCTCCCTCTATTGGCTTTCTTTTTCTTAAGATTTATGGTTTGAAAAGTTTGTTGACGTTGCTTCCGGCTAGAATTAGAGTGCGAAATTGTACAACCGTAGGATGTGTGGTCTCTTCAGTTTAAATTTCTTGCAAAAAATTGTTGAACAACATCGAGTAAGACATTGCCTTTTCAGTTCATTGTTACTTCTCTCCTAGTACATGTGTTGTTGCAATCTTGAAATGTGAAACCAAGCACAGATCCTAATAATCAAATACTGTGTATATAGCAAATGAATCTTTCCGTTCAAGAAAGTTTGAAAAGAGTCAAGAGATAGTTTTGGACTATGATATCATATGTCACCAAATCCCTCTATAAATATGTAATTTTCCACATTGTGAAGCTATGACAAAAAAAAAGTATTATTTTCAAGATGAGCGTGAAAGCTAATGGAAATGAAGATCATGTTCTTAGTTCTCGTATGGGCAATACTAACTGAATTGTAGAGTTCAATAAGACACTAGAGCTCTTTGACACTCATCTTCTTCACGCTTAGTCAGGGTCGGCCCATAGGTTAAGCCACCAAAGCAAAGGATTAGGACAGCTAAATTTTAAGGGCATCATCTTAAAATATTTTCCTTATTAGGATTAGTTAATAAGAGATATTTTCTTTAAATACTTTCCTTATTTGGATTAGTTCTCTATTAATGTGGTAATATATAATTTAATTTATTTTATAATAGTAATGTTTATAAAGTTTTTGTTAGCAATTTTATGATCTTTTTTATTAACAAACATGCTAATTAAGTTTACTGTTGTTTTAATTAATTAAATTCTGAAAATGGAGAATTGTTATGCAAACACCAAATTTTGAAAATGGAGAATTGTTATGCAAACACCGAGTAAAATACCAAGTATCAATATCAGAAATTTTTTTTGAAGCCTATTAAAGTGCTTGATTATATGAAAAAAATGGAGGATTGTTATACAAACACCAAAATTGTTTGTTGTATTTTGTTGATTATTTTGATATCAATTACCATGACTGAAAGAAGTTTTTTTTAAAATAGAAGAACCTGATTAAAAATTATGTGTGGTGTACGATAACAAAAAAGAGATTGAATAGGTTGGTTTTGTTATTGATTGAGATAACTATGGTTGAAAAACTAGATTATGTGAGTTTAATGAATGATTTTGTAAGCAAAATGCAAAGAGTAGTAATTTTTTTTAAATAATTATTTTTTACTGTTTATTTTATTTTTTTGTAATTATTTATGAACTGAGATCGTTTGTTTGGAATTAATTTTTTTATAAAGTTTTAACTATATTTTATTTTCTAGTTTTTATGATATCAAATATAATATATAAAAATGCATATTTTTTAAATTCGATTAGGGCATCCAAAACTATCGGACCGGCACTGCGCTTAGTGAAAGAATAAAAGATATTCTGTTGCTAAAAAAAAAATGATTTTAGTTCTAAATACTTTTGACTATTATGGTTATATTACTTGTTCATTCTTTGATCTCACGTTCTATTTTCTGGCTGAATTTAGTCCGACAAAAATAAAAATTGATTTTTGGTGGAGAAAAGTTGGGCAACAAATAATAATACATGCCCAAAAAGAGTTTTATTTGCGATGAAAGCGAAGTATTCACTTGATCGGATTTGATTGGGCTCTACATTGTATAGATGACATTGACACTCCCATAAATATTGGCTTTTCTACTTTTTCATTTCTTTCTCTCTTCTTTTTCTCCCCTTCAAAATGTTATATATGCGTTGTGTTTTTTAAATGATCAAAGTTGTTTCGTCATGTAATGTCCCAATCTCGTCGTATTAATCTCTTTACACGGCAATAGATTTGATGTTTCAAATTTTAAGTTGGAGATTATAAACTTATTGCTTCCATTATAAGTCTCCCAATCAGTTCACATCCTCATTATTAAAGTTCTTAAATCTATCTTTTTTATTTATGAAAAGATACATACAAAAATGCTGGAAAATGTTTCCTTGTTATCGGTCCTAATTAAACTTTCAATGCTCTTTTTTATTATCAGATTTTATGGATAGTAAAATGATAAGAAAAAATTTAGTACGTAGCTCCTAATTTTTTTTCATTACTCTTAGTTTTATGACTAACACGTTCAAAGCAATATAGAAGTTAATTTATGTATTTTGCGAAATCACTAACATATTTGATATGGAATCTCATACGGCGATGGATAAGCAGCCACACAACAAATATTTAGAAACTATGGATACTTTTCAAAGGGAACAAAAAAACTCAATTTTTTTTTTTATATTTGTGCTCTGTATATTAAGAAATTATTATATTTATATACCAAATAAGACAATGCTGATGCAAATAGATACAAAAACTTCAATTAAAAGACAGTTCTCGAATCACGGATACAACAAAATAATGTGGAATTATTATCGTGATGGGTTGTTTCTTAACCCGACAGAACATCTTATTGTAATATCATATCAAAAAAAAAAAAAAAAAAAAAAACATCTTATTGTAATATTAACTCTGTTCGCTGTTAAATTGTTTCTGAAGTGCCTACAATATAATTTCTTAATCTTAACTACACACAAAAAGCTGGAATTAGGGTAGTAAAAGATAAGGAATTAATTAATGACAAAAATAATCAAATGACCAATCAATACAACTCTAGAGAACTAGATTAAATAAACCTACTAAGTCTTTTAATTATATAACGCATCATCTTAAATTCCTACGGCCCTCTTCTTCGTACTGATCTCCTTATAATGTCCTCATTTCCATATACAAAAACATATATAGAAGATATAAGAACTAAATTAATAAATATATATATATATATATATTTTAAGTCTTAATGGTCAAGATATAGAGACCAATAGAGAGAACTAGAAGTGATGTTGATGATGTTGATGATACATAGTAGATGGGTCATGATGATGATGATGCCGACTCATACCTTCCCTCTGACTGTTATGATCATCTCCTTGATCCCTACCCGGACCCATCTGACCCGTACCCGCTCCAAGATTCAGATACACCAATCTTGAATCTAGATTGTTATTGCTTCCTCCGCTACTTCCACTGTTGTGCTCATCATTCATCTGAGGGTACATTGCGTTGTTGTGCTCAGTATTGTTATTGTTGCTATTGTTTCCTTCTTCTCGAGAGATCACCATTGCGGCTGACTGAACAAGCTCAAGGCAAAGCCTGAGCTTATTAGGTTCAATGTGAGTCAATCCAGGAACTGCCCCCTTGAACAAGAAATCGGAAGTTAACGTTCTGAGGATATCAAGAGGGGTGATTCCACCGACCGTCCGTACATTTGGATCGGCGTGATGGTCTAACAGGACAGCCACCATGTCGGGAGAGACCATCTCTGCCGCGATGTGTAACGGTGTCTTCCCCGCGGGTCCGGCAGGGTAGTTCACATCGGCTGCTCCAAGTTCAAGCAAAGCCTTCACAACTTCTCTACTACAGCTTTCAACAGCGTAATGCAATGCTAGTGACTCATCAAGATTGAGTCCTTCTCCCATAACCATCAGCTTGACCAACTCCACATCTGATGAATCCAAAGCTCGTCTCATCCTTCGAATCTTTTGATCTTCGAGGTCTTGAGCCACGGTGAGATCATGGTGGTGATGATGTGGCATCAGAGAACGGCGAGCCATGGAAGATTTGAGACGAAGCTCTTCGATTTTGGACACGACATCTATGGTGAGATGTTTCGCTAGAATCTCCGGTGGGAGACCTGATTTGGCGACTAAGTGAGAGCAAGTGGTCCACAATTGGTGCATGTCTTGTTTTCTTGATGCTATTAACACTTTCATCACATCTTCAATTGAGGCTTTCTCCACCATACTTGCCAATTGTTTCTGCCAATAATACAAACAGTTATAATGAATGATTAGTGCTAAATGTAAAGAACCGACATTTTTTGCAGCAAGTGGGTTTAATTTCCCTTTTTAGGTTATGGTTTTGTTTTGTTTTTCTTTTCATATTCTTGTCACTTCAGATGGTTGTTTTGATTGTGGAGTAGGTTTCATTCGTTATCTATAGATTATCATCAAAACCCCAAATGCGGAAAACTGAGGTATTAGTAAGATTGGATAAGAAATTAAGACTAAAGTATTGAATAAATCCAACTGCATAATATAGCTCTTCAAAGTTTCTACTTTTGGGAAAATACTCTTTCGTGCAACAAAACCAACCTTTTCTATAATTCCGGAAAACTTTCATAATAAGATGGGCTCCTTTGCGGAAAAAAAACTTCTTTACACATGAAATCAAGACAACGACAAAGATTACTTAACATATACGTATACATATATGTAAGAAATTGAATAGGGTTTTGAATTTTAACAATTTTAAGCCAACTCCATGAAAGAAACCATCAAAATTTAGAAGGGTTTCAAGATTTACAAAATCTAAACCAAACCCATGAAAGAAAACAACCGAAAAAGAGCAGAACAACAAAAAGGCCTTTGGATGTGCATGGTGAAATGAATCGAGTGAAGTGAAGGCAAAGAGAGAAACCTGAGTGAGCAATGCGAGCTGCTCGACGCCGAAGTAACGAGAGGCGGCAAGAGTATCGAGGGCAAGATCGACGGCGGCTGAGCAATGCGTGTGCCAACATCCTCTCTCGCCACAATTCGGTCTCGGCTCGTGTTTCTGCGGCACGATTGAGACTTGTCCGCTATAAAGAAACTGGAGCAGCAACAGAAACACCTCGTAACCGACTGAGTTCACTGGTATGACTCCAGCTGGGGCCGGGGAGCCTCTTGTTGGGCTAGGGGGTACTGATCCATGTCGGGTCGGGTCTATGCCTGTGCCGGACTGTGGTGGGTCGGTCCCACAGAAGAATTTGCGGAAGAAGAGGCTGCGAGCGGCGAGGATGCAACGGTGAGCGTGGACTAGACGACCTTCGACGCTGAAAGTCACGTCAGAGAAAGCTTGACCGTTGATTAAAAGGTTTAGAAAATCCAACGACAGAGATCTCAGGGATTCCTCAAGGCTGCTCATTTTTTTTTCTTTTGTTTTTGGTTCTTGAATTCTCTCTCTGGTAAAAAGCTAGGGTTTAGCAAGGAGTCTTCGGCAAAATAAAATAAAATAATCGTTGCCTCCTTTGATTGATTTTGTTGGCTGACTAAAGGATGAAGTTATGGATTTCGAAAAAGGGGAATATTTTTTTCGGGGAGGAAAGCTTAAGCTTTGATCTTTGTAGCTTCTTGCTGCCTCTCTAGAGAAAGAGAGAGAGAAGGAGAGAGAGAGAGAAGGATTCTTTATTGCTTTGTGGTGTTAGATATTTTTTGGCCTGATAAGAGAGAGAGAGAGCGAATGAGAGAGAGAAAGAGAGATTTGAATGGATGAACCGAGCGGCTCAGATATTTAAACTAAGATGGTAAAAAAAAAATAACTGTTTTTGCCTTGATAGCGATTAGAAAAAGGTTAAAGCATTAATCAATGAAAAATTTAGTGATTTGGTTACCAAAAGAGGAAAATATAAATATTAAGAAGAAAAGAATACAAGGTGGGCCAAATCTACTCATGGAATTGAAAATAAGAAAACTATAATATAAATAAATAATGAGAAAGTGTTGCACTATTAGCATCTGACTAATCAAAATCCTACTCAAAACTCATCAAACATTAAATTTCCAAAACGAGACGTATTTATTGAGTAAGATAATATAATAAAACCAAGATCCTCGGCAATTGTCTTTTTGGCTTGATATAGAACATGTGAAAGCCTGAACAACACCATGGATACATACATATGATATATGTGTACTGTGTGATGTATGTATATATGCAAGGATGTGTCATGTGTGTGCATGGAGAAGGGATAAAATGGTATAATTGAGAGGGGAAGGTGATAGATAAGAACATAGGCCTAATTAAGTAAAAAGACAGAAGGAGTGAAATAAATTTTCTAACTGTAGTGAAATCTGATTTGATGGTTTTCTGTTTGACCGTTGGACCAATCCTCACAATCCTCCCTTTCCCTTCTCTACATTTTAAAAAAAAAAAAAATTGTTTTTGTTTTGAGCTGATTATTGATTTATATTATAAAGGATCAAATACATAAACAAAAAAAAAAAGGTATGCATATAATATTTTATCAAATGAGCATGTGATTTATTTTTGAGTTTTAGTTATACGCACGTTACTCTGATGAAAATGCCGTTTTTTTGTAAATTTTAAACTTTATCCCAATACGATATTCTGTTACTTCTGTAGTAATTACCAAAGTATTTATCAACAAAAACAAAACAGATAGATAGTACGTAGCAAACGATCATAAAACAAAGCAATCAGGCGGAGAAGGAAATTAATATGAAACATCCAACCACAGAAGTCAAGACGTGACTCTGATAATGGCGCAGTCGTGGTCCGAACCCATATATATTCACCAGTTGAGAAAGCTGTAATGTTACAAGTTGGACCAATCAGAATTAAAACTCACTCTTCTTTGACAACAACAAAAAAAAAAAAAAAATTGAAAAGAAACAAATGGATGGGAGAGAAGTGGGAATGGCATGGAGAAGCGTGTCGGCCGGATGGATAGGGTCGGTCTGTTGGGTTTTTGTTTTTCTTCTTATTAAAATTTACACTAACCAAATTTTCATATAACCAAACCCAACTAGTCAAACTGGTATGCTGATTTGAAATTTTCATTTTAAAAATTAAGAAAAATGTTTTCAGGGACAACAGAAAACCAAACGGATACATAATTTAAATGATCTATATACTAAATCGGATTCACGTAATTTAGTTATACAACAAAGTAATTTATCAATTTTTCTCATTGAAAATATGTTATTTGGATAGGTTTGTATGTTTTGTCGTATTTCTAAAAATTATAAATGTAAAGAAAGAGATGATTGGATGATTTTATTTTTTTCCACTTGTACGAACTATTTTTCGATGGTATACCCACCTCGTGTGCTCAGGGGCGCACGAGCGAGAGGATATTTTTTTTTAATCTTTTCTCATTCAATTTTATTTTGAAACAAAATATTACAAATGTAGTTTTTTCTCTCTTTGTTTGGTAATTTCGGGGTAAAAGAAAGTAAGAAAAAAAAAATAAGAGAAAAAGAATGACAACACAGAAGGGCACTGACAGTCGTATGATAAGGAAGTGGTTCGATTTGACGTTTGACTTGTCTTTTCATTCTCTCTCTCTTCTTTTCAATTTTTACATTTTCCTTTTTTTTTTCAACCCACCTTACATCAAAATGTAGGTTTTTTTTGTCAACATATGATAATGTTTTTTCCTTCCTTTCAAACACAATGAAAATGATTCTTATGCACATCGAAATGTTCTATCTCAGGTTTTTTTTTTTTTTGGGACATTCTATATCAACATACAGATATATATATATATATATAGGCAAAAGTTTGAAACACATCATCGTCGTGATTGGCCTAGTTTCCGTAAGTCTTGAGTTCTTGAGTTCTTGAGTTTCACACTTGCTTTAGGTGAATCATGGTATTCATTCAATGTTTTATTACTAGCTACAGCTATGAGTACTGTTTTATTAAAGACATAAAATGGTTGTTATACTTACTTTTATCTTCAAACAAAATGATTGCGGATAAAAGATGTGTAAATGTAAGAGATCAGTTTAGATACTACTAGTTTTCTAAAAACCTAATGCTAATTGATACTACTATACTCATACGTTCGTTAATCAACCCTAATGCTAGTTTCCTCAAAACCCTAGCACGACTGTCACATCTTAGTTTCATAACAATGAATACGTTATCAAAATATGACCAGAATTATAAGAAAGCACGAATGTAGAAAGAGATCTAAAATTTTCATTTTTTATTGTATACTACTACATAAATAAATAAAAAATTTGAGAGTATCTAATCAATTTTAAAACAGTGATGACGTAATCAATGTTAAAGGATTAAAAAAGAGATGGTGGCAACTAAATCATGAATACAGATGGTGGCAACTAGATAATTGACGTAATCAATGTTAGAGTACTCAGTTACGTTGTCGTTAATTCGAATGAACTCTTATATTAAAATTGATAGCAACGAGGGACTGAAGCTAGAACATAAGCCTTACAATCGTCGAAAGAGAAGACACAAAATGGCAACAGCAACTAGGTATCAAAACTAGAAATCGTCATTGGATTTGTCGAGAAAAAAATATTCTTTTCAACAAAAAGAATGAAAAGAAAACTAATATATATTTTTGAAAAATGATGTTGAAATTTATTTATTTTTTCTGAAAAAAACAATCAATTGAAAATGGTATCGTCGTAATATTAAGACAAAAAAATAAGTGTTAATCTAGTAAGGTGTTATTCTAATAATAAAATGCAAATAAAAAAAATGAATCATTCTAAAAAATAAGGAGTAAGTCTTTATTTTGAACGTAATTGGTAAAAAGATTGGGTTGTCATCTCAATCAGTTACCAAAGAGTAAATGGGAAAGCGGGTCCTGGTTTGACGGGATCCTAAGGTTTTTGGCTACCCACTATTTGTATTTACCTCCATAGTTTTTTAACATTCATTTTTTTTTCCATTTTCATATTTCTAAGAATATATGTGTTCGTTAAATATATATATGTTCAGTTGACGTTTGCATGTTGATGTAAAAAGATAGGTTTCCATCTTGTATGGATGTTTTGTGGTTTTAACATTACCGACGCCTACCAAACAAAAATAAACATTATAAAAATACAAGTAATCAACTCAAATTTTCACAGAAAACATGATATGGTGGGAAGGTCTATATAATAGTATTTCATTAGTACTAAAATAGGAATTAAAGACAAAATAAGGCTCCAAAGAGTGGGCCTAATTAGGATATTAGTCTTTAATCTATGTTATAGTTCGTTTTAGGATAAAATACCTTCCACACCTTTTCTTTTAGGCTTGAGTTGATTACATCTTTATTAAGTATACGAAATTCATTTATTTTTCAAGTTTACTCACTAAGTCGATAAATTATCTACAATATATTGATGCACATTATGTAACAAAAAAAGTTTATGATCTGTGTATGTTTATCGTTTACAATAATAATTAATCCAAACTTATTTTAATTGGAATGGTACCCAGTACCCACATTTGCTTTTTTAAAAAAAAAATCCCATATATGCCACTTTCTGAAAACTATTTAATTTATTCCCCACTCTCTTTTCTTCACCTTTCTCTTTTCCTATCTTAATAAATTGGTTTTTTTCTGTCATTTGCTTGCTTTTTGTTTTTCATTTTCCGACAACGCTAGTTTTTATATTATATTTACAAGATTGAGGAAAAAGTTTAAAAGATGCCACCTAAACACTTAAATATTAAATTATTAAGATTGATACGTGGAGAAATATTGATCACTGCATTTCTTCTTCTTTTTTGTGTCGTCGTTTCGTCGATCACTACTACATTTCTAAACCATATAATTATCATTTATGCCTACACTGATTAGTTTTTTTTTCTTCTTTTATTGGTTACACTAAAAAGCTTCCGTTCTTTGTTTTTCTTTCACAAACTCAAATATAAATATGATTCAAGAGGGGACCAGAGCACATAGAAGTATGTGTGGATTCCGTATATGAATAGTTTTTGTACTAATAAATTATAAGAGCATAAAGAAACAAGTGAAACTATTCACATGGCTAATTAATCCTGTACTAATTTGGCAATTTCCACTGTTCTTCAACAGTGAACAACTAACGAAGGGCTATGAACTATATAGTTATACACTTTTTGAATGCATTACCAACTTTGAGTCTTTGACGCACCAAACATATATATAATATATAATATGCATACATTAATTTATTGATATAATATGCTAAATCCACATACAATATTTGTTTTTTTCGGTAATTTAGTGTCCTGAATTGAATCTTAGACTAATTTCGAAGTTTGCTAGAGTCAGTCGAAAGTTTGCGATGGTCAAAATGTACAACCAATGAGAAAGTATAAAGAGAAAGCCATCTTTTTCCTAACTTCATGACAAACTCTGTAGGTTTAGGAACGTGAAGAAGTATAATAGTTTGAATAAGATTTGAATTTGAACAAAAAAAAAAAGAATAAGATTTGAATTAGCTAACTTAGATATTGTTGGAAAATACGACCATATGTACACATGCGTGTGGTTGTGTGTATATCTCATCAAAATATAAGATGTAAGTATGCATGTTGTGTTAAAACATTTCTCAAAAGGATGACGACAGCTTTGAATGCAGCCGAAAATAACATGAACCCCAAAAAGCTACACTCTTCAAAGTCGTCTTCAAGTGAAACTCCTGAAGTTGAAACATCAAATTAAGAAACTTATATAGATACCAAATAATTCATATATAGGTGTCCACCAATAA